AGTAGACTCGTTTACCGTAGAGTTTAGGGTAGAATAGTCTTCTGGTAAACTAAATCTCCTTGAAAAGATGATCACCTTTTAACAAAGTCACAGTTTCTAAGAGCGAGAATCTTATATATTTTCTAAGAGTCTATGTCTAAAAGAACAAAGGTCTATGACAAAAAGTTTCCCATATAAAAATATGATTACAATTTTCTGGTCATTTCTTTTGTTACACACGACTCAGCCCCTCACTCGAATAAAGAAGCTTTCATAAAATTCAGACGTAAAAATAGTGAGGATAAACCGGTAAGTATGTTGAGAGTTGTCTTTTATAGCCTCAAGCTATAAACATTAAGCTAAGTCTGAAATGAATACCGTAGCTATGGTACGGTTTATTCCATACTAGGATATGGCTTCTCTTAAGTAGTATCCGGATAAAAATATGCTTTAGCCGCCCGAAATAATGCACGTTTTTATGATAAAATACTTGTACACTTTATTATTATCGCATAAACCATGGGAGCCGATACATTTTCATATAGTCAAAAATATTACTGAATTTAGTAGCTCGATCGCGTAGTTTTTAAGCGCTGAGGCCTGCGATCGTAGTTGATAAGCGACTTTCGCAAGGGTGGGTCACTGGATGGATGTTCCAATGCCATTATCAGGTTTGGGTTATTATTTCCGACCAAAGTCATTGTCAAAACAAATAAGCACAAATTGGATGGGTTTGCTTCGTATAATTACAAAGTTCCCATGGCTATCTTATGAACCCATCATTATATCAGATCCATTTTATGTAAACGTTACATTGTCATTTAAGTTATTTGAATGCATAAATCAGCTCAATCGAAAAGCAGGCAGAAGGTCACATTTATGACAATCCCTAGAAACCATAAAGGTTTGATCGACATGTATTTTGTTTCTAAAATTACATCTTCAATTTCATAAATAACCTTCGCCATCACGCTTGAGTAATTTTCGGTATTTTTATAACAATATTTAATCCTTTTTTTTTTCAATTAAGCTTATTACAAGCGTTTTTGAATACATCAAATTTTTTCCCCTACCACTCGTTTTTTTTTTTATTTTAGCACCTTTTTTCATTTCAAAAGCGAAAGAAACTTACGAACTCTTTTTGGAAAGAAATAATGACATTTATATTAATCATGTCATTAAATAATCTTCATTAACCAGTTACTAAGGTGATACTTGAGATTTACCTTAGTCATTGGTTAAATTATGTAAAAATGTGTTTCTGAACGAGTCAACCTTTGGAAAATCATATGAACAAGATGCAAGCAATAATATAACTCAAATTTTTATTAAAAACGTGAAGGTGAAAAGTATATCAATAAGAGGCGGTCCATAAATTAAGTCACACAAAATTCATGATTTTTATGAATTCATGTCACCTGTTTGTCTATATAAATTCTACTAAATATTGTTGTAATGTCACAGTGCGTCGACCTCCTTTAATTTTTTTTGACGCTGAGAATTGCGTTACGCATACCCGCTTCATCCAGCGCGGGCTCCACGGGTTATGTGGGACTCCACCTGCGGCCCACCCCGGCAAGACAAGAAGCAGGAGTTTACCCACTAAAACTCAGCGATGTCCCTCGCATGGAAGGCGATAACGTGTGACGTAATTTATGAATTGCCTCTAAACATGGATAGTTTAGCTTTATAGGTACATTAATTATTATATTTGATCAAATTTGCATTCACGATGCCATACTGAAAAATATTTTTAATGAAAAATACTTAAAAAATCCACCCGCTCTAAGCACTCTTAGAAAAACAAGTAACAAGGTAACAAGTGCTTGAAAGATTCGTCACTCCTGTTAGGTCCTGGGTAGCTCAGCGGTTAGAGCAGTCGCAGTCTCTGGGTGCCTAGGACGAGTTGATTTTTTGAGTGATTCCATTAAGAATAATTTTCAAAATTTATCAAATATAATCATTAAAACAAATTTTTATCTTAATCGAAAGTTTAAAACATTTGTAAAAATATTTATTTCATTTCGACTGTTTGGGTGGATTGTCTGAAAATTGATGGTAATACGCTCACTAGTACCGAAACAGTAATAAGTGCTTGAAAGTTTCGTCACTCCTGTTAGATCGTGGGCTAGCTCAATGGTTAGAGCAGTTGCCTGGATTGCGGTATGGGTTGGAGTCCAATCTCAGAGTGCCTGGAGCGGTTAGATTTTATAAGCAGTTTCGTTAAGAATATAGATATATTAAATTAAATTATTATATGATGACTTATAAGGCAGAAGAGCCGGTTTATTAGCCACTGCTTCTTTTTTTGCCATTTAAAACCCTATGGGTTTGTAACTAACACGTAGGCAAATACCTTACCGCGAACGGTTTTTAAAATGATATATTTTGGCAAAACTGATGCCGTTAACAGCAGTGATGTGCCAAAATTCACCTCCTCGTAACTCTTCAAATGGTCAAAACTAGGTCTTAATCTTGAAATGGCCAAAACCAGGTAAATGCCCCATTGTAGATAGGTATGTGGAGTACAATGTAGTCGTCTCTTAAACCTGATTATCCAGCACACGTAGCATGACAAACTCGAAAAACGCTTTGTCTACACTCATTTGTCAGTTTCTCGGGTCGAGAGTGAGATATAGTAAACTATATATTAATATAGTTAAAGCGCACCCGAGAAAAGTGATATTTGAGTGTAGACAAAACGTTCTAGAGTTCGTCATGCTACGCGTGCTGATTTAGAATCAACTCACGTTAGTAGAACCTTAATTTTGGGTCGTACCCAACATTTTATTGTATCAAGATGATTTCCAAAATAGCCGTAAATAATCATGAAGTTAGATACTAAAGGCCTTCCTGCCCTAACGGTCTAGTAGAGAAAAAAGCCGAACATAGAACTTATTCCCAAAATAAATAAAAAAATATTCCTTATAAGGGAAAATTATAAAATCTATACTTATATTATTAAATTTCAAATTTTGTTTATAAAATTCTTTCACCTACGAGAAGCTACATAATATCGAGTAACATAGACCACAAATTTGTACGGGAGAAGTCGCAGGAAAATCACTAGTTATTTATAAATCCAGAAAATTCGCGGTCGCTTTACAGATAAGCTTGGCTTATTTATAAGTGTATCAAAATTTCTGTAAAGAATAGTTTAGAAAATATTCAATTTTTACTATTTAATATTTAGTTACTTTCCTCTAATTCATCACACATAAACACTTATTACACATCCAATTAAATAGATTCTGACAATTAATTTGTATTTTTTTAAGCTTAACATTTCACAAGGGATCTTTAAACCGAAAGACAATCTTAAATACCATAATATTTTTAATTATTAGGGATCTTTAAACCGAAAAACAATCTTTCATACCATAATATTTTTAATTAATAACTTTTACAATGATTGGAGTTAATTGTAAATGTTTTTAATATAAGTTATTATAAGTTACAAGTGATTAATTCAAAAATACAGTCTTGTTTACTCTACAAAGAGCTTTATTTTAGACGTTACACGTCATCCTACAGACCGAATGATTCGCTCCATTAGTTGGCAACTAACATAAGTCAACGGCTATTACCCTCACTTCCACTCAACGAGACTCGTATAAGAGCTGTAAAGCACTCATATCTGTATAACATACCTAGTATAACACTTATATAACATATCGCTCTATTAATAGGCGTATGAAATATTTGCATTCATGTGCTTATCGCCAAAATTAATTCATTTTTTTTTTTGTTATTTTATTTAAATATTTTGGAAACAAATTAACCTTTGGAATACAAGTTATATACTTTACACACAAAAATTATTTACTTGTAGAATGAAATTGTCTTTATCAATTCAAACACGTTTTAAGAAAGAAGCTTTTTATTATAACTATCTTTTTCGGTACAGACAGCAGTATATCAGACTAATACAAAATGATAAATCGTCGTTTTAATTTTCTGAATATGAAAGCTAAAAAATATTTTTTATTGTGCTGAAGTTGTATTTATAGTTTTCGACATGACCATATATTTCTATTTGTTTTCCCTCCCCTGACAAAATGTATAATTTATAATTCATTTTACTCATAAATCTACTCCTGAATAAAGCTTAGAAGCGTCTTCAGATGCTTATCTCGAAAACGAATTTATGTTGGAAATTGTCTTTTGTCTCTAATTCCACTCGAAGGAGACGATTGCGTGATCAAATGTAATAAGAGGTTTTTCCTATTTTGCTTGTACATCTTAATTCATATGGATTAATACCCATAATAGATAATCCTTAAGCTTTGCTAGGAATACTTATTTGAGAAATCCATTATTAGGTAAGGTAAAAAAGAAGATCAATTATTATTTTAATCTATCAGAATTTATTTCATAATATTTATATTTTTTCGTCAATTGCTTGTATCATAGTAGCAGATACCTACCTGATCCCATTTTTTTAGTTTACCGTTAAGTAGAGCTCTTTCGTTAATTTTGTCGAATGTTCTATTATGTTCCGTGAATGCTTCAATTAACTAAGGACATTTGTTATGGGAAAATGTACAAATTCAATATATAGTATGGGTAATACAGTGTTACTATAATATATAATACAACAAATGAATAAGTACTTTTGCCAATTGATTTTAAAGAATATTCAAATAGGAATTATCGTCATTCGATATGACTATTTATTTAGTTATATTACTGAAAAAAAAATATTTAAGTTGTAATCTCAACTAACTCAATGCAAATAATAAATAATTACAAAAGCTGAAATTTTTTAACATTTAGTAAATTAATCATTGTGTAATATTATTTTACGAGCGCTTGAAAAACGCACAAAGCACAAAAGAAACGACAAACTTTTATAACATCTAGTTTTAACAGTTCGGTACTTTCAGTCGGCCACTATTTTACACCCGCCGTGAAAACATTACCGAACGCTTTCAATCGATTTTCGACTTAGTGGCTTACGCCGACAGAGCGGAGTTACGTAGAAATAATGCTTTTTAATACATTTCAAATAAATCGCTTACCTGGCCAGCATGCAGGACGTCCAAAAATATGGCAAAAACACTTAAAAAAAGCACGGCGCGCGACATTTTTGCGGCCGCGTATCGTCCCAAACGCAGACTATACGGCTACTGACGTTCGTGCGGGACGCGGCAATCCTGCGTACTAGATAGATGTACGCCACCGTAGTCGTAGCTAGCGTGGTATAGATCGACCCTCCCGGGAGTGAGAGGGACACACCAAGCAACCCCACAAGACTGAGAGGGACGCCTGTGGTAGGATAACGCACGCGCGCTACCGCTAAAACACTTATAACGCAGCGTACAATAAGGACGTCTTTAGGAGTGAGTCGCGATTGCCGTCTTCGTCTAGCTTTGTCTGGGTTTCCCGATGATGCATCATTTTTGGCAACCGTGAACCGTTCATAATGTGATCCTAATTATCTTGATTTTCAGACGCTTCCTTCCAGACTGTAATCGTCAATACACGGTTCACTTGTAATTAGCTGAAAAAAAAAGATCGCAGAAAAAGAAGAACATAATGCTCTTCATTCTCGCTGTTATAAAGCTTTTTACTAATAAAGGATTTTATATATTCCTCTTTTGTAATCTTCTAAAGAAGCTTCATTTGGAACTAGTTAACGGAAAAAAAATTAGAAACGAGGATTCAGTACAAGTATAAACGTTAATTCTTACAAGTTATCGTGTAATTTGTAGATTAAGGATTACGTTCTTTATTTTTTTATTTGAATATTTGAGGCCTAGATTCTTACAAAAAGCCTTTTCATTTGATTAGTCATAAGATTAATTTGCAAAGCTTTGTTTTAAATTTCTAATTTACCCTCCAAAAGTATATATATTAGGTAAATTGGAGTAGCATCTTCAGAATTTGTTAGACTTTGCAATGGTCTAACATCGCCTGGGGGTGGACGACCCCTCCAACCCCCTAAACAGGTGTGGAGTAATATATATATCGAACTTATGCGATTTTTGGCCGCGTGTGAGGGATAGGTCAGATGACCCGGTAGGCTGATGACCGTCTATTGTAAGATTATGACTTGATTTTGGCCATTTGAAGAGTTATGAGAAAGTAAACTGACGCATCATAGCTGTTAACAGTATTAGTTATGCCATAATGCAACACTTTAGATTCCAGAGGTCCCGACCTCAGAGATGACCGGGAATCGAACCCGGGGGTTCGATTCAATGTAGAAAATGCACTTTTCTCGATTGTCTCACGTCTGGGTGTTGTGGTATCTTCGTTGTCCGTAATTATCTGTTGGCTTGTTAAAACTAAATAGTATGCTTTTAAACATAATATCGGAATTTACCTGCAATTCTGAGAAATAATTGCAGAGTGCTCTTCTGCAGATTCAATTAACTAAATAAACTGGTACCATCCAATTCACAGTTAGTAAGTCAATGTAGGTATATATATTGTGAAATACTTGAAGATATCTTTAGTATAATGAATCATCAGCCCCAGAATCATCGAGATGAGATATCGTGGGGTACCTCTTTTTGGCGTAAGTAATGGCTTCATGCAGTCTCTGCCGCTTGAAAGGCGACAGGGGCGAAATGGCGTTGGCGGAAGGACGCGGGATCCAGCAGAGGCAGCTCCATATCCAGCCACCGAATATCATGAGGTACTGGACTCTGGGTCTGGTGTATTTTTTAAGACTTTTTACAAAATATATTTAATATTTATCAGTATAGCACTATGGATTCAAAATTGACAAAATATAATAAATGCTTGAATTTTAACGTTACCTAACTTTGGTAGACCTTTTCAAAAACTGAAATATTTATACAAATGCTGCAATATGCTTTGTCTCTATAATATTATTTTAATATTTACAATAAAGGTTTTCCTATGGTCAATTGGCACTGTTGTAATATTTATTACATAAGTAATTGATGTAAAATAATAAAATCCATTCTCACTGACCTAAAAACGACTCTTCCTCTAGGTAGATTCTAACTGAATCCTCCCAATCGGGATTATAGGGGATTTATTAGTTCTCTGACGGGTGAATCCTTCGAGTCTCATGGTAATAGATTAAGACTACTTTGGATGAATCTGTATAAAACAGTTAAAAGAATCAGGAGCGCAACTGCCTAATTTTGAAATCTGTTACAATCTGTTTCAATTAGACATATAAAAGGTATTAATGATCTAAAATATATTGAATGAACTATATCATTAATTTGACGTTAATATTACTTTAAGTTTAAGTTACTAAGGGTCAGTTGCACAAACGTCCATTAAGGTTTAACGATGCCTTTAAGATCTAATGAATGTCATATTTATATGGTTAATGTCTCTTTAAACTAATGACATTTTAATGGACGTTTGTGCATTTGGCTGTAAGTTTTTATTATTCAAATCATAATGCGCCCCGAAAGCGAATACGACTTTAAAAGTTACGCGATTCCATAAATCGCTACGCACAGTCACTATACCTTTAAAAGAGCTTGCAAAAGTGTATGAAATTAGACAACAAGGCCTCAGGGTTAGATTTTCTATTTAAATCATGTACAATCAAAATACCCACCTGTCTGTAATTAGTCAAAGTATTTTCTTCTTTTTCAAACTTCCGGTATTTAATGATTCATTTCAACAGTGATTTCCTTAATATATACTTAAGGATAATTTTGGTGTTTCTTTTTTTTATTTAACAACTTTATTGGTCGGCGAATAAGTGGTACAAAAGGCGTAATCAATACTTATCCCATTCTTAACCTGTCAATATTTGTAAAAACCAAAACAAGATAGTGGTATCTTTTTCATGTGGCATAAAGTGCACTAACAAATAAACTGATACATACTTATAACTAAACAACAAATGAATTGATGCACAAGCAGGACACTGTAATTCAATAAATTAAATGATACTTAAGCGGTAGAGCCACGGCGCGGCGGCGCTCCACATCACAGGAGCAATTGTATTATTTTAAATTCTATTGACATTTCATAGATATCACGAACTTCACACTACAAAAACAACATATGATAGCTACCGCGACGTTTTTTTATATTGGTTAAAAGCTATCGTTGAGTCAAATGAAAAAATTAATGCTTATGACACTCTGTCGAAATATTTAGCTAAGTTTTTATGGTTCTTGATTATTAATAATATAATTCGCTCCACAACTTTAAACGTAACATAATTAAATAAATATAAATATTAAAGGCACACTATCTAAGAAAAAGGACTATCACCGGTATAACACGTGGAACAAGGAGAAATGACATATGCACGCGACTAAACTAAAAAAGGTCCAAACACAAGGATTCAACTTAAAAATTTATATGTACAACAAGCTGCCTATAAATATTACCGATTTACCATTAAATAAATTGAAAATTGTGATAAAATTATTTTTTGAATCTAATCCATTTTATAAAGTAAATGATTTTTTGACAAAGACCTGGAAAGATTGTAATTTTAATTTGTAGTTTTAATATGTTTAGACGAATTATTTTATAATGATACAAATTGCATATATAATTATATTATGTAAGCTGTAACAATTTATAGTATTGTGAAATTCTGACATGCCAAATGTGACATACATTCATAACATTGCCAATTTATAATAAATAAATAAATAAATACATACATTGCTCAGATTCCAAGATGAGTAGCTAAAGCCCCCGTATTATGGAGTATCTGAGACAACGAAGATCACACAACTCCCAGACCCGAGACAATATAGAAAAGTTCATTTTCTTCATTAACTCGACCGGGAATCGAACCCGGGACCTCAGAGATAGCGACGCCTAGAACCGACGAGCGAACCACTGGGCTACGGAGGTCGTCAAAATTAAATTGCTATTACAAACGCTTTACCTATGAAAAGGACTGCAAATTTAAAAATAAGAGAATTAGGCCCCCGTTTGCATGACAATATGGCGGAGTAGGCAGAGAGGACCGAACGCCACAATCATACGCGAGTGACATAGACTATATAATTTACGCGGACGATATCACGAGAAAACAGTTAGCATTAAGTAAAAAAATAAAAATTTTGCCCATTATCGTGCAAACTCTAATGCGGCCGACACACGAGTATACATTTATTTATTTGTGATAGTGTTATGTTACCCAGCCATTTTATCCAAGGGGTGTAACCCCCGACTATTAGACTCATGGACTCATCGACGTTATCTACCCTTTGTGAAGATACCACGTCATTACTCATAATATTCATATACACTATTTTCCTCATCACTCCACTTTTATCATGTAACCCATGTTTAACCCTTACTAATTATTAGCATACTTTTACCATAATATAATATAAACTAGCTATTTCCAGCTCGCGTAAGTTATAATCTCGCATATGATGTAGGGAACACGTTGAAGAATTTTTATAATCAGATCAGTATTTACCAAGATTGCCCTCTACAAACATACTAGGTTAACAACTTTACCTCTTTATAATATTAGTTTCGAGTAGATACATTACTACCAAACTAACTATGGACGTCAAGGAAAAACGAGACTAACAGCCGGTTTCTGAATTGAGAAAAGCACAAATTCTCAACTTATTATCCTATATAACTCAAGTTTTTTACGTTTCACAAGTTCAAAAAGTCCTAGTTTTATAAAACTGCAATCAACTATTATTAAATAAAAACTAAAATCAGTAATGAAAACCTGTTTATGTAACATTCTTAACTTGAAATTCTCAATTTTTAATTATACATATATTCATTCTTAATGAGGGTAAAAACTGAAAATCAGTGCTTTGCTCTTTGAGTATATACTCACTGAGATTTCGCCCATTTGCATCGCTGCGGTACACATACTGTTTGATTGTCCTGTTTTAGTTTCTAATATTTTGTAAAATTCAAATTGTAGTATTTTGTGTATGCATGATGCAAATAAAGAATTTATCTATCTAATTCAGAAACCGGGTGTATATCAAACCCATCAATGAGACAGATGATAACGAATTGGGCGTCAAAAACTATTTTTAATTAATTACTCGCAAACCTTTAAGATTATAGTAAAAGTGTTGCATATAGCCTTCGGCTATAAAGTGACTCACATATTTATGAATATTTATGACTTATAAAAACATGTCTCTAAAAACAGACCTTAATTCAAATTAAATGGAAATAACGCTTATACTAAAAGCGATTAAATTTTGCAAAACCC